GGCAAGGGACCCCCATCTCCCCCGATCACCGCTGCCGCCCTTGCCCAGGCTTGACGCCTCGGCAGAGGCATCGACCCTTATCCACCCTCCCATCGGCGGATTCGGGCCCCTTGGCCAGGCCTGACACCTCCGCCAGAGGCGTCAGGCCTGGGCAGGGGACCCCCATCTCCCCGCGATCACCGGCTTCTGGGGCCGGCCTGTGGTGGGGATTGGATCCGATCACTGGCGGCAGGCAGCGGCTTCTGGGGTCACACACGGGGGCCTGGATGGCGGCTCTCACGCTGGCTGCTGCACTGCCCTGCCCTGCCCTGCCTGAAGTATGCAAATTAGCCGCCATCTTTGTTGGTGGTTAATTTGCATATCGTGCTGATTAGCCAATGGGAGGCGTAGCGAAGGAATGGTCAATTACCATGTTTGTCTATTATTAGATAGGACTAGAGGCCCGGTGCACTAATTCATATCCCACTTGGGTCCCTGGGCCTGGCCTGTGGGATTGGACCGAAACCAGCTCTCCGACATCCCCCAAGGGGTCCCAGATTGCGAGAGGGTCAGCCGGACCCCAGCAGCAAGCTCAACTACCACTTGGAGCATCTGCCCCTGGTGATTAGTGCACGTCATAGTGACTGGTGGACTGTTTCCTCCCCCCCCCCACCCCCCATCGTCAGTGCACATCATAGTGAGCGGTTGAATGGCCTTACCATATCATTAGCATATTATGCTTTGGTTGAAAGGCCGACTGGACAACCGGACACTTAGCATATTAGGCTTTTTTTTTATATAGGATAATATAGCATCATTCAACAAAGAAAAGGAGAGAAGGAAAATTGAGATTCAAAAGGTGAATGAAGGCCATTAAGAGCCTAAAAGGACCTCAGAGGAGATCTCTACTGGCTGCCTTGCTTCTGAGAAGAGGGAAACAAGCAATGGGCCACTAGAATACTATGAAAAACTATTGTTTGCCAAGTCTAACAATGCCTGTGAAGTTAGTTTATAAATGCTATCACTAGGAAAGATAAGCCAATGCGCAACTTTTAGCCATCACTGAACCGAAAGATTTGGCGATATTGTTGAGTAACAGACTTGAAGGGGATATATTCCTCCTCCCACTTCAGTCTCTGAAAAATAATCTTATTGCCAAATATTTAAATGTCTTCTCCCTCCTATTTTTTTCCTCTTTTAAGCTTGAGCATATTTATTCCCTTAATAAAAGGAAAGTGAAGAACTCCTCACACTGAAAGCTCCTTCGTTAACTGAGTCAAAGTAAAGGTATTTCTTACAATAAAACATTCAGGCCTCAAAAAAAAGAAAAGAAAAAGAAAAAGGTTTTAGCATGTCAGCAACTTTGCTATTTGTTTCAACCCAGCTGATTGTGTTGAAGATATAATAATCCAAAGAATTTCTTTGATATGGTTTTCCATCTCCTGTTTCTCCATTTTTCTATATCAGGCTCTATTCTTCGCAGAACATGACTTTACTTTCTTTGTTTTCTGTTTCTTGGCAGCACTTATATTTCGCCTGGAAGGAAATATCCAAGAATCCCTAGAACTCTTTCAGACATGTGCTGTTCTCAGCCCACAGAGTGCTGATAACCTCAAGCAGGTGGCCAGGTCTTTGTGAGTATTGGCAGTCCTGGAGACTCACGGAAAACGCTGTGTAATGAGCATTCTCAGGCAGAGGCTGCTTCTGGCAGCCTGATCAGCCTCATCCATAGAGGGAGAGTTGCTTACTAGGTATAGTGGGATTCACTTTGAAGAGTGTAGATTAACTTTGAAATTTGACAAAATGAGATTACTCATATAAAGTTTGACAGAGGAACACTGATACTGGTTATCATATAAATACTGACTTTTGTATCCTCAGTCCTCTAATCTTATTGGCAACCCATGGAAATTTTCTCATCCAACACTTAGCATAATATTTGACACACAGTAGATTTTTAGTGTTTGTTGAGGGGATGCTCTGAAGGTTCCTGAATGCAAGTAACCTCCAAAATCTTTCTAAGCTGTTAGGCACACTAATAGCTTTACTACCCCAGTACAATATTCTAGTACTAAAGTTTCTGTGGGGTTCCCATCCCTAATTTTTTTTTTACCTACATTGTGATTTATGCCTATACTATCTTTGCATAGAGCCTAGTTTTCCCCTGTTTTCTCCAGAACCGTGATCCAATATCAAGGAAATAGACTTAGGCTTGGGAGCGAAGAGCATGTCCCTAATAGATGATGGTGATAAATGATGGCAGCTCTTGCTTAACTGGTACATTATTTGGTTTGTTTCTTTTTTGGTCTACACTTGTAGTACACTGTAGAAAATAAATTACAGAAGAAATAAATTACTAAAATTGGTGTAGAATTTGATCAAGGCACTGGAACTGTTACCAATGCAGTCCCTACCAAGAGAGCTTCTGCTGTTGGTATACAGCAGCCTCACTGGCCAAACCAGCACAACCAGCTCATAAGGAAGAGGATTCCAGAATTTTCAGCTGGATGGAATTTGAGTCAAATATGGGGCTAGTGGGGTTAGTCTTCTAAAAGGTTTGAGTTAATAATTATGGAAACTGTATTTCTTCCACAGATTTCTTTTGGGGAAACATAAAGCTGCCATTGAAGTATATAATGAAGCAGCTAAACTTAACCAGAAAGACTGGGTAAGTAGGGAACTTTTAGTTCTTTGTTATTAGTAACATGCTAATGGTTCCATTTATTGTATGGCTGTCTTTGGTTATGACTGAATTCTTACATGCCAAAAATGTCTTGATCCTCACACTAAATTGATGATTCAGTTAGATATAAGATCAAAAACCATGTTTCCGCATAACTTAGCAGCTATTGCTGCATGGTTTTCTGGCAGGGAGTGTTGCTGTTAAGCAGTTCGCCATTAATCTGATTCCTATTGATAATCCAGCTTTCCTCTCTAGAAATGCTCTCCTTTCTCTAAAGCTACCTTAAGTAAAGGGAGACTTAAAAAGGGAATAAAGAGGTTCTATAGAGCTCAAGGCCAGGAAATACAGGCTGGTCTTGCAACGAACTAGAACTGGAAAGCTGTCAGCACCAAAGTAGCTACTCTTCACTTCTGTTTTATTTCTTCTTTTTGTAGATCAGCAGTTGGCAAATGTTTTATATTTTAAAGGGCCAGTTAGTAAATATTTTAAGCTTTGTGGTTTCATATAGTCTCTGTGACAACTACTGAACTCTGAGATTCTAGTGTGAAAAAATCATGGACAATACAAATAAAACTTTATTTACAAAATAAGGCAGAGATGGATTTGGTCTGTGGACCTTAGTTTGCTGACCTCTGCTGTCTGCATTTGCAGACTGACTCCAAATACATATATTCGATTATAGTGCCCTCCATAAAGCGCTGTCAGTCCCAAAGTCCACATCACCTAGTGAATTCCTAGATTCCTAGGAAGAGGAATCCGATTAACACATATATGTATATGTATCTCCTTAGGGTGGGGCAGGATCGGTAGGTAGTCTCTTCTGAAAAGAGGGCACAAATGAAGTGATCTCTTGTTTGTCCTGCTTTTATGTCTTATAATATGTGGGGTTTTTTTTTATATTAAGGAACCCATTTTTTAGAATTAAATATATTTGAGTATGAAATCTAGTAAAAAACTGACTGTAATGCATATTTTAAAGTTTAAACTTTGTTGAACAATAACAATCTCTAGATGACTGTTGTTTCACTCGAATATGTACTGTGGAATTTACACCTAAGCTGTTTTCTTTTGTGTGTAGGAGATCTGTCATAACCTAGGAGTTTGCTACATTTATCTGAAACAGTTCAACAAGGTAATTTATAGAAATAGTGTTGGCTGGTGATTTCACTGAAGGTACACTTGTTATAGAGGTGCCATTGCTCATTTTGTATTATTTCTAGTGCTTGCAGAGATTTTTGGAAGTAAAAATTGAAAGTGCCATATACACCTATCCTCATTTTTCTTTTCATTTGCTGTTATCCATCTTTTTTTTCCCTGCTTTTAACAAGAAAATGAGAAATTCTAGAAATATTATGAGGGAATGGTAATTTAATTGCTTTTTTTCTCTCTTCTTTTTCTCTACCCCAGATTAATTTTCTAGTATAGAAGCAAATGTTCAGTAAAACTTAGATATCAAAAAGTGGACCATTGCCCTAGCGGGTTTGGCTCAGTGGATGGAACATCAGCCTGCAGTCTGAAGGGTCCCGGGTTCAATTCCTGTCAAGGGGACGTACCTCAGTTGCAGGCTCCATCCCTGGCTCTGGTCGGGGTGTGTGTGGGAGGCAACCAATAGATGTATCATTCTCACATCGATGTTTTTCTCTCTCTGTCTTTTTTCCTCCCTTCCACTCTCTTTGAAAAATCAATGGAAAAATGTCCTCATGTGAGGATTAATAACAACAAAAAAAGTGGACCTTTAAGTCTTAAAAGTGTAATCATGACCATGGGAACTCTCTTATGCTCTGATAGCAACTAATTTTAGTTTTTAAGGTCATTGGAGATGAATTTTAAGTTTCAAGTGGGTCTGATTTCTGAGTTTCAGTTTCTAAGGTTATTTTCTATGTGAGAATTTATATTTTATTGTGATTAAGCTGCAGGCTCTAAGGCTCTTATATCAAATAAGTATCAAGTACCTTGGTACTCAAATATAAGAAAAAAATGTATATATCTTAACTGAGGGATAGATTAAGTTATTGAGAGCTCTGAAAGTTAATGATAGTGGGTTGCATAGAGTTCCCTTCATAAAGCTTCCACTTAGTGATTATGAAGTTTTATTCTCTTTTCTCTAGTGCTGATAGGACTAAGAATCTGAGTTGGTTAATATCCATTTGACAACATTTAATCTATCCCTTAGGAGGTGTGAGAGTAACTTTTACTCTTGTGAAATACATAATAATATGTATAAGTAAAATATATATATATATATATATATATATAAGTAAAATATATATATATATATTTAAATAAATAGAAATAGAAATAGAATATAAATTTTATATATATATATATATATATCCCCTGTCCACTGGGCAGATCTACAGTGTTATATATTTGGTTAGGAGATTTTTCTCTTCAGAGGATATTCCAAGCAAGTACATTTCTACATTTCTATTAACAGGATTATTATGAGGCAAGGGAGAGGCAGGTTGGTCTTTGGTCAGATCTGTAAAGGAGAAGAAGATTATATTTAAATTTTACTGTAAAGCTAACAGAGCAAATACAATACTTGACATTTATTGTTGAACCAGTGAATCACTAAAAAAAGTCCTTTTGACCATCAACTAGGAAGGATATAAGCTTTTCCAGAGCAAGGAGTTTGTCTTGTTAGCTCTAATATACCTAGTATCTCTAGAACAACAGGTACTCAGTGAGTACATATTGAGTGAATCAATGAAAACAATCCATTCATTTATTTATCAAAATATTGTTGAGGAAAATGAAGTCCACTCTGGGAAAGGTTGTGCAGTTGGTCACTGGTACAGCTGGGCAGTGCTGTATACTGTACTATAATGTCCCCTTTGACTTGTGAAGTATGAGTCATGGGTATGATTATTAAGAAGCAGAAAACAGCCCTGGCTGGTTTGGCTCAGTGGTTGGAGGATCAGCCCATGGGCCGAAGGGTTGTGGGTTTGATTCCCTGTCAAGGACAAGTACCTTGATTGCGAGTTTGATCCCCGGCCACAGTTGGGGTGCATGTGGGAGGCAACCAATCGATGTTTGTCTTTCCAGTCGATGTTTCTCTCTCTGTCTCCCCTACCCCCTTCCTCCCTTCACACTCTGTCTGAAAATCAATGGAAAAAATATCCTTGGGTGAGGATTTAAAAAAAAAGAGAGAAAAGAAGCAGAAAACATTCAAAAAGTTAGTCATCTTGTAAAAATTCTTCCAAGTGGCTCCAGAGGCAGATACTTCATGTTTCCAGCTGTCCTGTCAGCAAGTACAGTTTTGGTACGTGTTGTTATTTTTGACTATTAGCTGAAATGGGATGTTCCTATGTTAGTATAGCAGGAGCTCCTTTTTTGCTTTACCCCTACAAAGCCATTATCCTTTCATGGTAGTGATTTCATTCTCTTCATCAATCTTATTAGGCACAAGACCAATTGCACCATGCCCTACATCTTAATAGGCATGATCTGACTTACATAATGCTGGGGAAGATTCACTTGCTGGCGGGAGACTTGGACAAGGCCATCGAAATCTACAAGAAAGCTGTGGAGTAAGTGTGCCTGTTTCCGTTAGAGCAGGGGTGGGGAACATCTGCTCCGTATAAGGCCCATGAAATCATTTGATCTGGCCCTGCCAAGGCATTAGTGGTGAGTTAATTGTTTGACCAAATATAGCAGGATAATTTTTAAATTGGTAATTTTGTATGGCCCACAAATGATCTTATAAATATCTAGATGGTCCTTGGCAGAAAAAAGGTCTCCCCAACTCCCCAGCTTTAGAGCAAGGAAGGACTTAAAAAAAGGGGGGGGGAGTAGATATATGAATTCTCAAGCCTATGAGAGAATATATATGACTGATAACTAGTTGTATGAGTTAGAGTAAATGTTAAGCTAAGGTTAAGAAATCCCAATGGCCTAAATAAGGAAGATTTGTATTTCTTTCTCACCTATTAGTATGGCTGGTTTAGCCTAGGTGGGTGGCTCTGCTCTACAAGGGCTATCAGGGACCTAGGTTCCTTCATTATTGACTCACCATTGGTTAGGTTGTTGTCTTCACCTGCATGGTTGTTCCATTTATCTATGGAACGTATGCACAGGTGACCCAAAGTGCCTCATTTGGATATACTAATACAGACATCAAAGGGTACTTAATATTAATTAATATGGCCGAGCTTAACCAAAAACTAAGGAGAGAGAGACACAGGAGATAAACAATGCAAGAAATCACACAGGTTTATTTACCAGAGAGCTGATGGGTTTCAGTCCTTGGCAGGCCACCCGGAAACACTCGCTGACAGAGGAGACACACGGAGGTCGTGAAAATATGCCGCGGCAAGGAGCTCGGTTTCTTGACTCGAAGAGAGGCCTCTTAACAGTCTGGGCTCAAGGCAGAGCAAGAATGGCAGTTTCGCAGTTAGGCAGTTCCAGGGGGGAGGAGAACGTCCTGTCTGTGGAGGGCAGACAAGAGTCTGAACCGCAGCAGATTTGCTCTCCTATATCCTTGAAGCTGGGCGTCTTCAGTGTCTTGTATCACTAGACTTATTACTGTAACAATGGTTGAAACTGACTTACTATAACCACCATGTTCTGGGCTGTGGTGGGGGGAGGTGGTACCAGAAACTAAGTACAGAGTGAACAGCTTGTAGTGTTTTAAGTGGCCCAGAAGTTGCACACCTCATTCATGCTTGTGTTCCATGGTTCAAAATGAATGAGGTGGCCACATCCAGCTATAAGGGAAGTGGGCACACATGCTTGGGAGGAGGGTCTTATTAGCATGAGACCAATATCTTGTTTTTTTTAAAAAAAAATATTATTTTTTTAAAACTCCTGTTGATGATGGAACTGACTGGCTTTCCAGGATGGTGTCCCATGTTTTCTCTCTAGACACACGTTATCTTGCCTTTTCTGTATAGGGTTTTTCCTTGTTTTAAATGGGATAGCTGTCGCCATGATGCTTTAATGTCTCGTTTGCTTGGTCATTTAATAGAATTCCTGGTCACAGAGTCTAGTATTCCTGATAATTAGACTACGAACTAAACTTAATTTGTTAAATTAATATGTTTATTTTTTTATTTTTTATTTTATTTTTATTTTTTTTACTTATTTAAAATATGTCTTTATTGACTTTAGAGAGGAAGGGAGCACGGTAGAGAGATAGAAACATTGATGAGAGAGAAACATTGATTGGCTGCCTCCTGCAGGCACCCTACCTGGGATCGAGCCCCCAACCCGGGCATGTACCCTGATTGGGAATCAAACTGGTGATCTCCTGTTTCATGGGTTGAAACAAAAGTTGCCCAACTGTGCACATAAGTCTCTCTGGAAAGAAAGGTGATCTCTGCTACTAGTTCTCCTCCTGGGACAAGCCCCCTTTCTAATGTAAATTTCTCTTACATAAGGGTAACTTTATTTTTGTAGTTTCTCCTGCGTTTGCAGTTTCTCAAAATAATCCTTATGTCAAAGAGGCATATTTGGGCGTGGCATTATTTTACTATCCTTCAAAGCAAAGAAGCAAGTAAGGAAGGCATATCAGGCATGAATTAGGACGGAGGCATCAATTAATATGTTTATTATCTTTGTCTTCTTCCATAGTAATGATATAGTAACTTTTCTGGTTTTATCAGTCATAACAGCTTTCTGAATTTTCTTCAGTCATATTTTGTGCCTAAAAAGATAGAAAAATCCCTGGTTTGTTAAGTTACAAGAGAGACTTTTGTCATCAAGAGGCTATGTTTATGTGGACAAGTAGGAAGGAGCCCACATAGCATATGTTAAGCTTCTGTGGGGCTGCTGAAAGCCTTAATTTGTGACCCCTGGCTTCTAGAAGATGAGCGCACATAAATCTGAAGGGTGACATTCTTCCTGCTGGGAGCCAAGATAAACAGTAATTAATATAAATGGGAGAAGTCCATTGGGGCTTTTGATATTCAGAAGGCTAAATGTTTGCATTGTTATTACCCTGCTGCTAAGTCAATGGCCGAAGGCAAACTCCCCCAACCTGATAATCCTACCGTTTACTAAACATCACCTTTGATATGCCCGTTTGCATTCCTAAAAGGCAATTGTGTATTCTAGTAAATAAAAGCCAGATGGGAACGGAGACTCAGTGGAACTTGGTCTCTCGAACCAAGTTCACAACTGGCTTCCCCCATAATTTCCAAATTTATATTTCTTGTCTTGTGTATTAATTTGTGTGTCAGCCCTTTCTCCAGGTCTTTGAACCCAGGCCACGCTGGCCGTGGTCTCACATCTTCCAGTGGTTGGTCAAGGACTTAAGTCACAAGAATTTCCAAGAGGACAGCTGAGCATTTGGAGCCTCACTGAGAATGTGGAGAGCCACAGCTTGGAGATAGCAGTTTTGGTTGGGGGAGGGATGTTGCCAGAATCATAGAAGTTAGTTTGGGGGAGGGAGGTGATGAAAATGGATATTTATTATGGCAGAGTGAAGGGCAAATACTCAGTTGAACTGAGTAAGCTTTGTTTGGCCAGCTCAGGTCTCCCTGGCTGGGGTTTTGGCCCCTCTGATTCTGGTCGCCTGATAGGTAACCAGCGTCCTATCTCATTGCTTAGAAGCATGCAACACTGTTCCTCACCTTTGGCATTTTTACTGTTGGTACTGTCTGATGATCCTGTAGTCAGATCATCTTAGCTCAGGGTAGCTTTAGTTTTGTAACAAAGACAAATATTAGTGAGGGATTGGGAAAGCAGATAATCTTTTACCTAAGCCAATGGCTAATTCTTTCCCAGAGCTGGTATGTCTTCCTTTTTTTGTTTAGTTTGACTGTTTACCATGGCTTTTTGTTTAATGTGTAGAGCAGAGCATTAGGGCCCTTGGGATCCTAAATTACACAGAAAATTATACAGGTTGCCATTGTGCATACAGTGAGAACAGGAAAAAAAAAAAAAAAAGAAATCCCACCAGAAGGAAACTGGCTAAAGCTATGTGTGTTCCATACTGACTTGGTTTATAAAGAATTATTCTTTAATTCTGTCAGTATAATGAAGACAGTCACACAAAATATTCAATAGGTTTTGTCTTAGGACTTGGACTCTAAGAAATGGTCCTGAAAAAGAGTCTGGATTCTAAGTCCTATTTCTTTCTTGTTGAGCAATCCTCCCTGTAGTCGGGGTTGAGATGACATACTATTGAAGGCAGTTTCCCAGTCGTCTTGGGGAATTTCCATGGAGAGTGGGACACGCTGTCTTTCAGATGTTGCATGAGGGCATGTCACTGTGCATGTGCCTCAGTATCTCATTCACATCTTGTTTCCCTTTGAGCAGCTCTGTGTTCATCTCTGTGTTGCAGGTTCTCACCAGAAAATACAGAACTTCTTACAACTTTAGGTTTACTCTACTTACAGGTAAAGAGAACTCGTTACTCATTCATGCATTGATGTTAGAAATACTTTTGGATTTATGTGTATTGTGGTTGCCCTGCATTTTGATTTTATTTTAACACATTTTACTAAAGTTCATATGAAGCACACCAACCTTACTCTCTGTATTATTATATTCTTTATCTCTTAAAGGAATTAATTTTCTGCATTCAAATAAAAACTGCAATTATAATTTTTAAAGGAAAGCGCATATATGAGAAATAACTGGTCATGAGGACTGTCATTTTGTTGTGGGGAGAGAGACTGATACAAGTTATCACTATCAGGGCTTTGGAGCTAAGGCCATTTCTGTTGTTCCTTCTTCCCAGCCAGGTCCTATAGGAAAGAGAAGGTAAAACATTGTCTAAAATAAGAAGTCTGGCTCCTTCCTGCGTGTGAATGAAATTCTTTTAGCTCAATCACTTCTTATCAGCCTGAGCACTGGGGCCCAGAGGTCCTGGAGGGACCTCTACCCGTCCCATTCCCCCATCAACTCCCAAAGTTCACTGTTCAGCCGATCCTGCCTCCAGTTCTGCCTCTTTGGTAGCCTTTCTGTTTGTTAAATTTTTCTTTAAAAGGAATTAGGAGTTTAATTCCTGGGCCTTCCTGGCTTTGACTTGGGAGACTGGCCCCAGGGGAGATGAGGCTAACCAGCCCATTTCTTGCCAAGAGACATTAGTGTGGAGCATATTATGGCAGAGATAATTCCTGGCAAATGGATACTTTGATCTTATCAAGGGACAAATGTGGGGATTTTTAGTTTTCTTTTTCTATCTGGTATCTGTAGCTCTGTTTTGTGAAGAGAACTCAGAAAAGTCAGGGTGCTTCAGGGTGTAATTGGCCAGACTGCTGAACTGCTATCTCCTTGCTGATACAATTCTCTCGTTTGCTTTTTCTCCAAGGTTGGTTTTTACAAGAAGGCATTTGAACACCTCGGAAATGCGCTAACTTATGACCCTATCAACTACAAGGTACTGCAGGCTGTCAAACCCCAGAGCCTTCACATAGATGGTCCACTCCTAGAGGTGATCTGGCCCTAGAAAGCATTTTGAATACCTGAGAAATTACCTTTTTCTTAGAAAAATTATAAACATGGCTCTTCTCATTTGAAAATATTATAAGGTGTTTGTGTTCTGCTTGTTATTTTCCAAAAGAGCACATTTGTTATAACAGACCTGTAACTTAGGCAGAAAGCAAAATTGTAGTGCTGGTAAAGTTTTATGTATTTACGAAATTAGCAAAGCCTCCACAATTACTGTCAAAAATACTTCTGGTGAAATGATTTCTAGTTTCTTAATGAATTTGCAATTACAACCTTGTCCAGATATGTCCTTAAGGGTGAGATCATCATCAAGTGGATGAATGTCATTGAGGGAGATGCAGCATAACAGGCTGTGAAGGATACAGACTCAGTCCTACCTCAGAGCCACATTAGCCTGAACCCTGGACTGATGAAGCCTAAAGCTGTGTCACCTTTGTGCTGTGGCAGAAGGAACTATACTTTAAGTGGCCAAGAAAGGAGTATTTTAGCTGTCTGGAGCAGCACTTAGTGTATCAAGTAGAGGCTACAGGGAACAGATTAAAGGCAGTATGCTCAGAAATATTGCCTTCTCCAGTTAGAAGTAGGAAACAAATGAGCTGGGTAAAGTCAGTGACATTTTATCTTTTCTTTTTCTGTACTGTGCCAAAGAGAGCCAGAGTGTGGGGTGCAGTGGTTTCTCATGAGCATTTGTCCTAATAGCTTAAATATATTTTATATGTCCCTGGAAGTTTTTCAGTCACGCTATGAGATTATCTACACCCAGGAAGGCTCCTTCACTGCTATAGCCTTTTGGGAATGACTGAATTATCAACTTCCCATGTCCTGTGTTTTCAGGCCATCTTGGCAGCAGGCAGCATGATGCAGACCCATGGAGACTTTGATGTTGCCCTCACCAAATACAGAGTTATAGCTTCTGCTGTTCCAGAAAGTCCTCCACTTTGGAATAACATTGGAATGTGTTTCTTTGGCAAGAAGAAATATGTAGCAGTGAGTGTCTCCTCACCTTCCTTGTTTGTGTTATTGGGTCTGCCCAGCTTGCCCCACCTTCATCAAGTGCCCCTCTCTCCTGCAGGCTATCAGCTGCCTGAAACGAGCCAACTACTTGGCACCCTTTGATTGGAAGATTCTCTATAATCTGGGCCTTGTTCACTTGACCATGCAGCAGTATGCATCAGCTTTCCATTTTCTCAGTGCAGCCATCAACTTCCAGCCAAAGATGGGGGAACTGTACATGCTCTTGGCGGGTAAGAGACTATTGTGTGAAAACCCTCTCCACAGTCTGTAATAAGGGGAAAATGAATTAGAATCATTGGAGGCCAGTGGCTAAATGTACTGCAGAAGCCATTCCCTTGCAGGTCCCATAGGAACCTGGATTATTGTGCTAGAGCTTGAAAAACAATGAAGAAAATAATGAAAAGGCACTTGGTTGTTTCTGAAAGGGCGAGGACTACGCCCTCCATCTTACCCTGGGTCCTCCATTTTTGGGCAGCCATGTGCTCGGCAAGGCTTCTTCCCGGAAGCCCAAGCCTCTGCTAGCCACACCCAGGATTTCTTTAAACTAACCAATGACAATCAAGGGAAGTGCGCGCCATAGATATGACCACATCCTGTGTAACGAGACACCAACTTGCTCCTGGCCAATTAGCAGGGCCCACAGTCCCCTCTCCTCCCCTTACTCCACCCCCCTATAAAACTCCTCTTCCCACTGGGCTAGCTCTCTCTCTGCCACTTACTGCCAGTAAGAAGGGTAGGGGAGCCAAGCCCAGGTTTGAATAAAAGACTCTCTGCTTTTGCATCGGACTCGGCTGGCTCCCTGGTGTGGTCTCTTGGGGATCCTGAAATCTGGGCATAACATTTGGGGGCTCACCCGGGGTTCCCAAGACCATCGAGGGACCCCGATCCGGAGAGTCTGACTGACCGCGGTAGGTGTCTGTGTCATTGTGTGTTCTGTTCTGTGCGAGCTCGTTTCTGAAATCTGTAAGTGCCCGAAATGGTCTAGGTGGACGCACTGGGGGATCACGGGCGGGAGGAGTCGGGGGACGCTCCGATCCTCCATCTGGAGGGGCGTAATTTTGCTTCTGCTGAGTCGGAAGGTCTGTAGAAACCCCTCAATCTGAGACGAGGCGGGTCGCTCCCCCCGGTTTGGCGTAAGGCCATCGTCTAGTTGCTTCCATGGAGTTGGAAGGCTGTATTTTCTGGCCCTTTTAGTTTTCTGTGTTTGTATGTTTTTTTCTATGGACTTACTGGATGGACATTATAGGATAGACTCAAACTACTCCTTTAAGTATTACGATTGATCATTTCAAGGAGATTGGGGGAGGCTGTAGAGCTCCCTCAGGAATTGGGAAATTGTTAGAAATTGGATGGATTGTTTAAACTCTGAATGAATGTCTGGTGAAAGTGTGTAAGTGTGGAGGGAGGGGGCCTGCCCTCTCCCCTCCTTTGTGTGGCTCCAGGACTTCGGTCAGGCGGGCAACTGAGTGAGGATCTGTGAAAACAGGTCACCCCCTCCCCAAGTAAATGCGTCTGGGATTTCTGTGCATGTGTAAAGAGTAAAGCTGGCTTAAAACTAATTGCTTGCACTGTCCGATTTTGGATAGAGTTTTGAGCTGGAATCTCTTTGCAGATGTGCAGGATGGAGCCCAAGACTGGTCGTTTACCCAAAGGAAAAAAAAAAAAGATGCTAGCTAGATTCTAGCAGAAGGATTGGCGTTTCCATAATAAAGAACAGCTTTTAAATGCTAACTGAAGGGTGTTAAGGCTGGCTTCCCAAGGAAGAATGTGGTCAATTTACATCTGAAAAGACCAGGTAGGCCAGAACCTGTTTTGGAAGGCTCAAATGTGGTTTTCCAGAGCCGCTTGAAAGTAAAAAGTAAAGTTTACTCTAATTTGCCTCATGAAAAATCTAAAGAACAGAATTAAATCTATTGGTTGAATATTGAGAAATGCTGAATAATTACCTTGCCAGCTAAAAGTTTAAGGTTAGGATTGAATTGGGAAAAATTATGTAATTGTAATAACTAAATGCCTTTTCTTATTGGTCTGATTGAGAAGGGAGGATTGATTTTGTGACCTTAACTGAAGATTTTTGATGCAAGGATATTCTTTAAAATGATTATAAAAGGTATAAACAGCTAATAAGATTTCTGTTTGTCTACAATACAACCACATGACTTGCCGCTCCCCTGGGGGCCGCCATCTTGAAACAGCAAAGGCCCTCCCTCTGATTTAGTCAGGGGTGGAGCTTTAAGGCGGAGTTTTGCTGCAGAAATGTGAATGGGGCAGGAAGTGTGCTTGCCTCATGGATTTATTTTTAATCTAATCTCTTAAATCTAGAAAACCCTGCTTTCCTTAAACTAAGGACAATTAAAGGTTATGTCAAAGTCTTTAAAAGGGACTCATAGCAGTAATCCAATTTCTAAAGTAAAGTACAATTATTTCAGGTAGAAACTGGTTTCATCTGATCTTAGAGGGCACATTTTTCCTTTGCCTGGGAGGGACAGCGCAGCTGTCCCAGGGTCGGAGGGCTCCAGTTCAGTGTTCTGGAGTCCCAGGACATGCCTAAGTTTAACCTATGTTACCCAAGGACTCTAGATAATGTGTTTACCCAAAGCTGTGGTTTGGATTGCATGCTGTCTCTGCTTCTGTAAATTGATCTGTCTTTATTGCTTAAATATGTATCTTTGTTGTTTAAAATTGTTTAGTGAAATTTCTGTATCTCTAAAAAAATTGAATGTATTGCTAATCTGAGGAATGTTAATTATTTACATGTCACCTAAAAATTAAGGCTAAGAGTTCTAACTAACTGGAAAGCATGGCTTTGGTGTGATGGGAGGAAAGAGAAATGTTGAATGGATGGTAGGCCAGTGAGCTGGGACTGGTCACTGGTGGTGGATTGTGAGAAGGGCTGGATGCGGCCTAACTTCTCCTTCCTTGGTACCCCTGAAATGTCAGAGGGTACTTCTGGCCTTGGTTTTCTTGGTTTTTGGTTTTGGATTTGTTTGTTTCTTTGTGAGCCAATGTGTTTAGTCTGTCGATTTTGTTGTTTCACCGAAATCCTCTTGAAGGACATTGAATGGTTCTTTCCTTCCTCTTTAACTTTTGGGGGATTGTATGAATGGATTACTGATGTAGATTATCAAGGATCTCTATTCTGTATCTTGACACAACTGAAACTGATTTGTTGGTATTCTATTTAGTCTTGTTTTCTTTGTTCAGTATGAGTACCGTTTCTATCTGGATGAGACATAGGTCAAGAATCCTGTCCTGGGATGTGGTAAAGGGAGGCCCCCACATCTGTTTCTGTCAGGCCCCCATCAGGGGACTTGGGCGGTGTTCCTGTTATCTGCTCAAGATCCCAAGACTGTAAAAGTACTTGTTCACTGAAAGGATGTAAGTGTAAATGTTTATTTGATGTTTGTATGTCTACTTAGGTATAATTATTTGTTCATGCAAATGTGGAAGTCTGCGGAAAAAAAAGCACATGCTTGAAAAATTTCTGTCTATGTTTGTGTACTAGGGACTTTGATTTGCTAAAATTTTGGAATTCTGGGGTAAATTTAAAAGGTATTTGTGGCTTTTCTAGTACAGTTAAGGGTGGGGCTCACAGTTCCTCAGGGCAGAGATTTCATGGGCCCTTCCCCTGCCAGTGCTGAATTAAATAATACAGGCCAGTGTCATTTGGCTTGCTGGTTAAAGGAAGACAATGGGCCTTGGAATCTGTAAAGGTGGACAGGAATGAAGCTGGTCAAATGTATTGAAAGGGTTTGGTACCTGTTGCTGCTAGCAAAGGAGGGGCTGATATCCCCTTCTAGCGCACTCCCTTGAAAGAGGCCTGGTTGCTGCTCTGCCACAAAGGGAACTGGTAGAAAGGCAAGAAAGCAGAGCGCTGTAACTAATAAACAGGGTTACCTAGAAGCCATCAAGACTTTGAAGTTCTCCAAGAGAGGAGGAATCTGACTCGGAGACTGGCCGAAACCTCGTTGGGTTGGGAGAACTGGAGGCTATGATAGGGTCCAGCAACGGACCAGCCTTTATTTCACAAGTAACCCAGGTAGTAACCAGGGCTATTGGGGCAAATTGGAAATTACATTGTACTTATAGGCCCCAGAGTTCAGGGCAGGTAGAAAGGAACCATGGAAACTGGCGGGGACTGGGTGGCTCTCCTATCATGTTTGGCAGGCCACCCCCTATCATTCCTAACCTTAAAGCTGACTTTCTTGCTGCAAGAACTATCTCTTTCCTTGAGAGGTCTCCAGAGGGCGCACGAGGACATTTGGCCGCGCCTCCGCGCCATCCACAAGACCGGCCCAACCCCAACTCCTCATCAGCACAGACCAGGAGATTGGGTCTACGTCAGAAGGCACCGCCGGGAGACCCGTGAGCCACGTAGAAAGGGTCCCTACACTGTGGTGCTGACAACCCCCACCGCTCTCAAGGTAGACGGCGTCACGACCTGGGTCCATCACACTCACGTCCGGTCAGCTGACCCATCTGTGATCCGGGAAGACTTCGTCACCAAATGGAGCATCGATCGAGATCAATGCAACCCGCTCAAGCTCAAGCTACGGCGTGCTCGACCTGCCTGATGCTGATAACATTGCTCGCGATCACTCCTGCCACCGGGAGCCCCCACAATACTGTGTAATAGACTTAGATAATGCCTGCATCTTCATGGACATGACTCCAAAAAGACAAGGACAATTCATAGGAAGGTCAGGAATAGACTTTAGTATCACATGTTTAGTAGCAGAAGATTTGGCTGCCTGAAGCGGCCATGATGCCAATATTATGTTTCATTGTATTGATATGTTATATTGACCTTTAATTCTCTTGCAGGTTTGAATGTATGTTGGCTGTCCTGGAAGGGGACTGTGTGGGGTGACCCCCCAAAAGTAAAGGGTGTCTAGCTGCCAAGAGGGCAGGTGCCCAACTGGGCAGGGAAGGGTGCCCATCAGGTTTTGGTCTCTGTTGAAAGACAGTTGACGGTTGGCAGCCTGTATACTATCTTGCAGGCCTGCGTAACCATGCCCATGTCAGGGGTAGTACAAACCTCAACTGTAGAAAGCTGGGAAAGGCCTGTTTAGAATAGAAGGTCTGAGGCATGGTTATGCATAGAAAGAAGGTTTTATGCCAACAGTTACTGTTTTGTTATAAATCCATGAAAAGGAATTGGCAAGGAAAGTCAGAAAATCTTACAGCAGATCAGTATGTTTTTCTCCTTATGTAATTCCTCCGAAATCTGGCAATGCTAAATAAGTCATGGCAATACATTTCTTTGCATAGATTCAATAAGACTGGTTCCTAATAGTGGTTTTATTAACGGAAAACTTTGACTGGAGTATCATGTTTTAAAGAGCCCTGCCTGAGCTCTAAAGACTTAAAGCCAGTAAGAATGCCACGAAAAAAGCCTGGTATCCTGCTTGGGAGCCCTGAAGATGGCTGGCGCTGGAGCGTCAGGCCCATGCCCTACCATCACTGGCGGTTGGTAAGAGTAGAAGGGGAGCAGTAAGGATGCCTCTGCACCCCTGCGGAACCCCCACACACTCTGGACCGCAACGGGTAAGAGGCTACTGAGATGGGCCTTAAAGCCTAGAGCGTGGGCTCAGGTGGAGTTGCTACAGGTGAGGGATTCACCTAACTCAGCAGATACTGCAGGCAGGCCTGATGGTGGCTGGATGGCTTGGCTTCCTGGCCCTACGGGGCACATTAAGATTCAACCATGAGATTCCAGCAAAGGTGGTCAGTTACCATTCTTGTTGTGTTTATGCAAACATCAGGCCAAATTGAATACAGTAGATAAATTAATCTTGATAGCCATGGAGGAATTTTAAAAAGAAAGATCCTGTTTCAGTAGAAGTTGTTAAAGCTAAAATGGTTTCTTTCCCTTCCACCGGACCATTTGTTAAGCATATAGGGATAGTTCAGTTGATAGTTCTTTGTGCCCAGTACGGGCCTCTAGCAACGGTGAAATAGAAATGCAGTCCGTCTCATGATTGAGCCGGAAGTTCCAAGACAAAGGGGGGAATGAAAGGGCGAGGACTACGCCCTCCATCTTACCCTGGGTCCTCCATTTTTGGGCAGCCATGTGCTCGGCAAGGCTTCTTCCCGGAAGCCCAAGCCTCTGCTAGCCACACCCAGGATTTCTTTAAACTAACCAATGACAATCAAGGGAAGTGTGTGCCATAGATATGACCACATCCTGTGTAACGAGACACCAACTTGCGCCTGGCCAATTAGCAGGGCCCACAGTCCCCTCTCCTCCCCTTACTCCACCCCCCTATAAAACTCCTCTTCCCACTGGGCTAGCTCTCTCTCTGCCACTTACTGCTGTGCCAGTAAGGAGGATAGGGGAGCCAAGCCCGGGTTTGGATAGAAGACTCTCTGCTTTTGCATCGGACTCGGCTGGCTCCCTGGTGTGGTCTCTTGGGGATCCTGAAATCTGGGCATAACAGTTTCTAACCATTTGTTAAGCATATAGGGATAGTTCAGTTTCACTCAGAGACCAACAGGTTAAATCAAGATCATCCTCGTTTATGTTTTACCAAATGTTTTTCCTTGCCTTGACTATTTATTTATATGTATATATTGAGCCCAGCTAAGTTCCAGATATCATTTAGCATACAAGGGATATATCTTATAGGGTTGACGAGGGGATTACGTGATTAAGTAACCAATGAATATTAACTATTATTGGTTTTATTGTTAGTTACTGTAATACAAAAGATTGACTAAATATTCTTTCTAGGGAATATTTCTCTGTCCGTAAGCAGTTTGCAAGTTCTCATTGACTTTTGTCTTCAGGTGTTGTTTAAGTCATTATTGTGGGGTTCTTATAAGAGAAAGGGTTGCAAAAGCAAATCGAGTGGTGGTTATTTGAGGGTTGCCTGAATACAAAGCTAGCCTAGTTCTAATGGGGATAGGAATGCAAACGAATTGCCACATTGTAAGGCACAAGCAGCAATTCTAACATTACAAAGTAGAAAGGGCCTTCACACTGTACTGAAGGCTAAGCTGGAATTCAGTCACACAGAATGACTGAGGAGCCAGTGAACAAAGGCATGCAGCCATGAAACTGCACGCTGTACCCTGCCATTAGTGGGCAGTAGTGCTATAGAATGTAATGGGAAATGAGTCATGAAAGATAGTTTGGGGTCAGATGATGGAGGGCCACGAGTATAATGCAAGGACATTAGACTTTATCCTCGAGGCCATTTTCCCAGCTGTATTCCTAGATCTCTTAAGTGTCTGGTAGAAGTGAGCCCAGGTTGGGGGGAGATGGAGTGGGCAGGCCTTCCAGAGCAATGCTGTTATTGTCTTATAGGTGAGGCTTTCAGGAAATACTGGTTTAAAAGGTGAGAGTGTCCTGGTGCTAAACAAATTTTAAAGATCAGGATTATGGGTGATGGAGGGCCAGTGAGGATTCTTAAGCAGGATAGTGACATGTTCAGATTTGTTTGAAAGTTGTTGAGAAACCTGGCAGCATTGTGGCAAGTGGATGGATGCAGATGGGGACATTGCCACAGCTTGAAACAACTTGGGCAGGGTCAGAAAAGAAACTACAAAAAATGGTGTTCAGATAACTTGGCAACTGATTGACTGTGGAAAGGGGACTGTTGAAGATGACACCAGGTAACTAAACTGAGTGAGTAGATGGTGGTGCTAGGAGTTGAGGAGGCAAAGGAGCAGTTAAGTTGTGGGGGCTGAATGAACTGTGGTCTTGAAACATTCCTTTTGCTTTCTAAGCTGGGCTCCTCAGTCTCAGTCCTCACTTTCTTTGTTTCAGTGGCTTTGACCAATCTGGAAGATACAGAGAATGCCAAGAGAGCTTATGCCGAAGCAGTCCGCCTGGATAAGTAAGCTGCACCGTGGGGAATGGTATTGGGGAAGGCTAGACTCTCCAGAGCCATGAGGTGGCATGAGACCACTGGCTTTGCCTGAGTCAGCCCAATTGCTTGCTCTCCATGGCCTTTGTGCACAGGGCATGTGTGGAAGGATGTGATACAAAGCCTGCAGTGTCTCAGCAGGAACTGCCACTGCCACTTTCTAAGGAAGTGTTTCCAGCCCCAACTTTAGTAGTTCAGAGGCCAGAGAAAGTCAGAGCTGGCAGTGGACTTGGGTTGCTGGTAGCCATGGGCTAGATGGAATATCAGATGCAGCTCTGGGCTCAGTTTAATCTAAGATAAATGTGACTCTCTCCATATTTATTCCATTGGCATTGGCTAGGCAGCAGGGTAGGGATCACTTCTTCAACCCGCCCTGGTGGTCCCTGCTGAGGGCTGAGATGTCAGACTTGGTCCTGATACCTGCTTTACTGGTGGGCAATTATTCCTTGATTCTTTCCCACAAGTCCACACATAGCACATGTGTTCCTCTTACCTTGCTGCAGAATGGAGAAATCTCTACTTATAATCAGTTTTGTTTTTTGTGTAATGAGAATCTCTAAATGACCATTGGTTGTGAAGCCTAAGCTTCATAGAATCCCTGTCTGTTTGCCATAGGTATAACCCTTTAGTCAACTTGAACTATGCTGTGCTGCTATACAACCAGGGTGAGAAGAGGGACGCCCTGGCCCAGTATCAGGAGATGGAGAAGAAAGTCAACCTACTCAAGGACAGTAGCTCTCTAGAATATGACTCTGAGGTATGTCTTTTTAAAAAATATTTTTATTAAATATATTAATATTTATATTAATACTAGAGACCCAATGCACAAAATTTGTGCAAGGGGCTCGGCCCTTGTAGCCACAGCTTTGTCTGGAAGGTCATCCAGACTGTCGTTCTGCTGTTTGGCCGTCTGGTCTAATTAGCATATTATGCTTTTATTATTATAGATATAAATGAGGAAGAAAGGTAGAGAGAGATAGAAACATCAATGATGAGAGAGAATCATTGATTGGCTGCCCTACATGGGGATTGAGCCTGCAACCGGGCATGAGCTCCAATCGGGAATGGAACCTGTAACCTCATGGTTCATAGGTTAATGTTCAACTGCTGAGCTGTGCTGGCCAGGTGTCTTGTTTTTTGTTTTTTTAATTTTTCTTTTAGAGAAAGAGGCAAGGGAAGGGGGGTGGTGCGTAGAGGAGAGAGAGACATTGATCGGTTGCCTCCTGCACATGCCCTGACTGGGGATCTGAACCCACCACCTTCTGGTATACGGGACGCTACTCAACCAACTGAGCCACACTGGCCAGGGCACGAGGTATGTCTTTTATTAGCTCCTAAGGAGCCATAAGCAAGCTGTCAGCAAACTTGTGATCAAGCACAAATAATCCAAAGATAACCTGTTATAAGCTCATGCCTATTTTGGCTGTGATGTTCCTGGCAGCATGAATTATTCAATTAGTGACAGCCTGAAAAAGAAAACTTGCCTAGAAGAAAATAGTAAGAGGAAATTCAGGCTTACTGAGCCTGTTATTGATAATACAACTCTTCTGAGTTGAGGCCCATATCTCATTGTAGTTTCCTCCCACTTCTCCTGTAGGAAAGATGGACTTTAGCTCAGTAACATACCAAACTTGAATTGTTAGGTTTGAGATCCTGTATGAACTCCCTTGCCTCACTAAGGGTAGTCTGTGATTTCTGCTGTTTGAGAAATATTTCCTTGTAATAAGTATTTCCTCCCTCAAATGCTAGTACCAATAGTCACTATTTCAGCTATAACCCACCAGGTGGAACGCCTAGAAGTGGGTAGGCTTGTCTCTGCCGGTCATACCTTGATTCTTTTTTTCTTCATATGTGTGCACAAGATGGTGGAGATGGCTCAGAAGTTGGGAGCTGCTCTCCAGGTTGGGGAGGCACTGGTCTGGACAAAACCAGTTAAAGACCCCAAATCAAAGCAACGGACAACTTCAACCAGCAAAGCTGCCAGTTTCCAGCAGCCTCTGGGCTCTAATCAAGCTCTAGGACAGGCAATGTCTTCAGCGGCTGCATACAGCAAGCTACCCTCAGGTAGGAGGTTACACACGGTGCCATAAAGACCTCATGGGTATAGCCACATGTACCAGCAAAGAGGTTACAGCTGTGAGTGAAGCCTGCACTTTTCAGATTCAGAACCTGTCCAATGTAATATTATTTGGAAGGGAGAAAAAGTCTCAAGGTGGCCAAATTGGCACTAGTTTCTTTAAAGCAAGTTGTATATTAGGTAACAGTTACTGGCAGGCTTAATTGGATGGTTAGTACACTAGGTCTTTATAATATTCAAGTTTAGAAATATATTACAGTACTTTCTATTATATAGTCTTGCTTTAAATCTCACTGCCTTATAAGTTGACATGGTGCAGGTAATTAAAGATTTCTTTTAGTGAGTAATTGAAGGCAAACTCGACTGTTTGCTTCATTTCTTGTTATGGTCTAACTTCACAGCTGCAAAGATATACCACAGTCCCAGTGATGCCAGAAAACATGGGGTTTCTTAAAATTTAACAGTGAAAATAATGATTTCTTTGGGAATTCTGGAACAAGAATTCAAGTCACCATCTCTTCCTCTGGAGCTGGAGCCTGTGTGGAAGCATGTCCAACTGAAGCACCAGCACAAATAAGAGAAAAATAGGAATAGGATGACCCCAGAGTGGGGGTTTCTCTGGTGATAATGTACCAGATTAAGAAAGGCTACATGACACAGGTAGAGTGGAGGCCAGCATGTTCCTTGGGCACCACAGAACACAGCATATGTTGTGGTGATCATGTGGAGCCTGAGGCTTCTGTAGTCCCCCATTGGTCCCCATCATCTCACCCAGGAAATAGAGAGAAGCCAGCCAGACAGGTCCTTTAAGAATTGAAAACAAAGCTTATGGTTCTAGGTAGTTAGTTCCAAGAGCCAGCAAGGTAGATGACTGCTTAAAAAAAATTTTTTTTATATGTTATTTAAAAAATTTTTATTGAAAAAAATGTTTTAATTTTTTATTGATTTCAGAGAGAGATAAAAACATCAATGATGAGAGATAATCATTGATCAGCTGCTTCCTGCATGTCCCCTACTGGGGATCGAGCCCAAAACCTAGGATATGCCCTGACCAGGAACTGAACCATAACCTCCTGGTTCATGGGTTGACGTTCAACAACTGAGCCACACCAGCTGGCTTTGAAAGAACTTTAGTCTCCTGGCTGGCTGAACCCTTCCTTTGTGGGAGGGAAGTTGGAAACACCTTTGCTCCGTACTCTGGCCATTACAAAGCCTTGGCTTAGCTAAGGTGATCCTCAGGTCACCCCAAGGCAAACACAAATCTTGCATTTATAATTTAGCTCTAATAGTCTTAATTTAAAAGAAAAAAAAAGATGAAAAAATCTCTGTAAATTTAAGCTGAGCCTGTCAAGTATCCTAGTTACACTTGCCCAAGGGAATCAAGAACAGTCCCTATATCTTGTTCTTGAGAGAGGTCAGAGTATAGAGTCAGATCATGTCAGTATGATAAGAAGTAAAAGGGAAGTACTACTCTGGTTATCAGCACCAAGGATTTTTAAAAAAAGGGAAGAACTTTATTTTTAAAATTTTATTTCTTGATTGATTTTGAGAGAAAGAGAGAGAGAGAAATAGATATCAAAACATTGATTTGTTGTTCCACTTATTTATGCATTCATGGGTTGATTCTTGTATGTACCCTGACTGGGAGTCAAACCTGCAACCTTGGTGTATTGGGACTACACTCTAACCAACTGAGCTACCTGACCAGGGCAGAAGAACTTCTTAACCAAAGAATTTTAAGACATCAATGATACCACTGATGAGATACTATCAATATGTTATCTATATGTCCTTTTAGAATAAAAATTGTTTGTCATCATCCCTTTGGGGAAAGTTGTTACTCAGGTATAAAAATGAGAGATCATAATAAAAACTTTTGAAAGAACCCATGATCAGAGTTTTCACTGACCTATTTCTAAGCCAAGTTTGAAACTGGAGAAGGAACCTCATGCCAAGTTCCTATTTGTGCCAGCACAACCTCTGCTACAGCCCTAATAGGTGGTAGGCCAGCAATCTGCTTCAGAGCCAGTCCCCATGTTGTACTTAAAGTGCCCTACAGTCACCATAATTTGAAGGTGGAGGACTGACCTATTGCCAGGACAAGCTATGTTTTTTGGAGTTCTTTATATTATGACTGGGTCTGTTTTGACATTGAAGCAGCAGCCGAGTTCCATACCTCAGAAATAAACAGTAAGGTAACAGAGGTGATACCCTTAACCATGCAGCTGGTATGTAGCAGGACTGAGGTTTGTACCCTGAGCAACAGAGAGCTCACTTCTATATCAGTGTGGAGTCTAGTGTGCCTCTGACTGAAAAGGTCTTGCTGAGAAATACAGAGGGTGTAAAATAAGATAGGTGGAGAGGGAGAAGGAGGTATGAGAGATTTAGGAGGTAAAAACACAAACCGGGTACTGGTTGGAAGTGGTAGATAAGAACAAACTAGGATGGATACTCATTGCTGGGGAGAGTTACACAAATCAGAAAAGAGGAACGTTGAAGGAATAGGGTCAAGTGTTGTGGAGTCTAGCTTTACTACACATGCTTATCTTTGAGACATCCAAATGCTGATAGCCATTAGACACTAGTATAGCTAGATTTCAAATGTGAAATCTGTCTTGAAGATAAAGAGTCAGAAATAATTGGGTTTGAGTGACAGCTGAAATCATATTTTGAAAGGAACCACCCAAGGAAAGCTAGAAATAAGATGATGGGGAATTAAAAATGAAAACCCAATACTGAAAGGGAGAAAAAGAGCCTGCAAAGGATACAGGAGAAAATGATACAAGAGAAAAACCAGGAAAGTGATGTTAGGAAAGGCAAAGGAAGAGAAGTTCAGGAAGGGAATGATCAGTCTCACTGAACCCTTCAATAGAGAGGGGCTGTTAGCCTCATTTTATAAAGGAGGAAGCTGAGGCTGGGAGAGGCAAAATGAGTTTTCCAAGGTAAGTGGGAGGATTAGAATTTGAACCCAGGTCAGAATGCAGAGCTACTGCTCTTAACCATAACCATCAAGCAGTGATGTACTCTTGCTGAACTAGTGGCAGCAACAGAGACCCAAGGGCTTGAAGACCTAAGAAGTGGAGATTGGACTGCTCTTATATCAAAGTAAAGGGAAGAGAGGTTTCTAGAGGGTAGAATTGAATTCATTATAATAATCTGAGAAAATTTTAGCATTTGGGGAGACAAGGGTAAAAAGGTCTTTTTTAAGTGAAGCATACTGAAGACTGAGAGAATGCAAAGAGCAGGACTCTTCAGTTTTTCTATACTCTTTGGGGCAAGAACATAATGGCACCTTGCATTCCAGGGATAGCAGTCAAGAAACACATGCTTTTAACATTAATTTGATCTTAGATTTTCTTAAAAAATAAATACTAGGTTGTACCTCTTCAGTGTTTTGGGCATATGGATTTGCAGTTTTTCATTCACTCTGGTGAGAAAGGAGCTATTCTAATTTCTAGTATGGGATTGCTCATGTCATCACAATTTTTAACAGAAAGCAAAAGGAAAAGGAGGCCAAGTACATAATTACAGATAAAGTGGGAGCCGTATTTCTGGCAGGAAAGTGGAAGTATGGACTAGGAAAGGCAAAATGCCCTTCTTACTGAATAATATTAGTATAAAACTGTGCATTCCAAAGACAGTATAAATCTGGAATGTATGATTATAATGATTATGTTCTTAAGGAAGAATCATTATTATTTGATGATAGCAGAATAGCTCATGTTGGACCAATCCTCCCATAAATAACAAATATAAACAAATAGGTGAATATAAAACACTATCTTGGTTTAATTAAAAAAATATATGATTGCCCTAACCAGTTTGGCTCAGTGGATAGAGCATCGGCCTGCGGACTGAAAGGTCCCAGGTTCGATTCTGGGTTGCGGGCACATCCCCAGTAGGAGGTGTGCAGGAGGCAGCTGATCGATGTTTCTCTCTCATCGATGTTTCTAACTCTCTATCCTTCTCCCTTCCTCTCTGTAAAAAATCAATAAAAAAATATTAAAAAAATATGATTGTTCCAAGCAAAAAATTATTTTACATTATAATGTGGGGTTTAACATATGCAAATGTAACTAAAGGACAAGGGGTATATGGAACATTATAGTTGAAAGGTTTTAAAATTTTACATAATGTGGTACAAAACTAATCCTAAATAGTTTGTGAAGAGTTAAGGCTGGATATTATAATCCCTAAAGCACCATTAAAAAGATACACATGCTAAGTGAAATAAGCCAATCAGAGATAGATAAATACCTCATGATTTCATCTCATTTCTGGAATATAGAGACCAACATAGACTGATGAACAGGTTCAGCTCAAAGACATAGAAACAGCGATCAGACTTATTAATCCCCTGAGGGAAAGTAGGGGAGGGAGGGGGCAAGGGGAAGAGATCAACCAAAGGCATGCATGCATATAAGACAAACCAATGGACATGGACAACAGGGGGATGAGAGCATGAGTGCGGGAGGGGGGGTAGGGTGGGGAGGATGGGGGTTTAATGGGGGGGATGAGGACACATTTGTAATACCTTAACTAATAAAGAATTTAAAATATCAAAAGAAAGATACACAGAAATATAGCTAAAAAGACAACAGAGAAATTATAATGAAATTCTAAAAAATATTCAATTAGCACTTTCCTCCCCTAAAAAAAATGGACTGGAAAGGAAGAATGGAGGAACAAAAAAGAAAAAGATGGAACAAAGAGAAAATAAATAGCAAATATTAAGTGTAAATCCAATCATGTTAATAATTACATGAAAATGTAACTAGACTAAAAAATGTAATTGGACTAAGCATTCCAATTAAAAAGCAGAGAAAGAATTAAAAAAAGAAAGCCCAGTTATTTGCAATTGAAAGTAAAAGGATGGAAAAAGATACACCATATAAACTATGGGCATAAGAAGTCAGTAATAATGTCTAGAGTACTGTATTAATGTCATATAGACTTCAGAACAAGGAGTATTACTAGAAATACAGACTAATTTGCCTGACAAAGAATTCAAAGAAACAGTCATAAGGATGCTCACCAAACTTAACAGTGCAATAGAAGAACTTAGGGAGCATTTCAACAAAGACTTAGAAGGTATAATAAAAAACCAAGCAGAGCTGAAAAATACAATAACTGGAATGAAAAACACACTAGATGGAATCAACAGATTAGCTAGTATAGAAGAATGGATTAGTGATCTAAAGAATAGACTAGTGGAAATCAACCATCAGAATAGTGAAAAGAAAAAAGACTGATATTTTAAGGGACCTATGACATCATCAGGCGCAAAAAGATTCACATTATAGGGACCCCAGAAGGTGAAGAGAGAAAAGAACAGAAACTTTATTTGGAGAAATAATGACTAAAATCTTTCCTAACCTGGGAAAGGAAACAGACATCCAGATCCAGGAAAGCACACGGTTCCAAACAGATGAACTCAAAGATACCCACACCAAGACACATTGTAATTAGAATGGGAAAAGTTAGCGACACTTTGAATGCAGCAAAGGAAAATAACTAATTATATAACAAATGAAACCCCATAAGGCTATCAGCTAATTTCTCAGCAGAAATTTTAGAGGCCAGAAGGGAGTGGCAAAGTGCTGAAAGAAAGGAACCTACAACCCAGAATAATTTACCTGACAAAATTGTCATTCAGAATTGGAGAAATAAGGAGTTTCTCAGACAAGCAAAAACTAAGGAGTTCATCACCATTAAACCGGCTTTACAAGAAATGTTAAGCAGAAAAGGAAACTCCATAACCAGAAATAAGAAAATATGAAAACATCTCACAAGCCAAATATTTAATAAATATAGCAAATCAGACATTTATTTTTTTATTTTTATTTTTTTAAAAATACATTTTATTTTATTTTTTACA